TTTCTTTCTTTCTTTCAAGTTCTTTCTTTCTTTCTTTCTTCCTTCCTTTTGTTCTTTGTTTCTTTCTTTCTCTCTTTCCTTTTTTTCTTTCTTTTTTGTTTTCTTCTCCTTTCTTTCTTTGTATTTTTTCTTACTTCCTTTTGTTTTGTTTTGCTATTTCTTACAAATGGGAGACATAGAATCAGAGAGGGAGAGGGAGAGAGAGAGAGAGAAAGAGAGAGAGAGAGAGAGAGAGAGAGAGAGAGAGAGAGTTCACTACTGCGGGCCACGAACGCATTGGACGAGGTACATAAGTGTGATTTTGGCCCGCAGTAGCGAACTGCATACATTTTAGTTTTGGTGAACGGTTCTTTCTTTCTTTGTTTCTGGTCTCTCTCTCTCTCTCTCTCTCTCTCTCTCTCTCTCTCCCTTCTTTCTTTCCTGCGTCTCTATCTCTCTCACTCCCTCATTCCGACGGATGCGTTTGAAAAGAATCGTTTGCTTTGTATTTGTTAAGTTGTGTTGTCCAGTGTTATATCGAGTCATGTACGGGGGAAACGCAGATGTACAGTAATAAATAACAATATATATTGCCACGTACATATAGGCAATCTTTGGTAGGCGCCCGTTGACAACAACTATGGAAGTAGTGAGGGTCTGTCTCTGCCTCTCTCTCTCTCTCTCTCTCTCTCTCTCTCTCTCTCTCTCTCTCTCTCTCTGTATTTCTCTGTTTGTACATATATTTCCAGATGTCAAGATTGGCCAAAACCGGACAGCAGAGAAAGTCAGGCGAAGAGTGTGATGCAACGACGGATCACTTTGTACTACTGGGGGCCAAAGAAAAGAAGACGACTGAGATGGACCGGAACTGGGGTGAGATAGTAGAGAAGCAACGAGAAAATATAGACAGGCTAACAGACGAGGTACATAAGCAGAAACAATTGGTGAGACAGATGTCAGACGAACTAGGTCGTGTTAAGTCACTGCTCGTAGAAATGACAGAAACTGTGGAACACAAACACAGGATGTTCACCGTGTTCTGGTTGTTACTATCCGATCCAAAATGTTTAGACATAACTCGTATGAGGGAGAACATGACTGCCAGACTGAAGGCAATAGTTGAAACGAAGACCACCACGTTTGACGAGTTCCAGACATGGTTGGATGGTGAAAGGCGCAGGCGCACCGTGGTCTTGAATCGGTTCGCCGCCCACGTCACAAAGAGAACTTACAGGGAATCACAAGGACTTGATGTCGCATTTTGTGGCAGCCCTTAGAAGTGTGTGCTGAAGGAGGGGTGGGCATCGTATGATAGCCAATAATATAATACGGGTTCGCTAACTGCTTCGTTACGCAGTGTCGTCGACCTCTTGGCCTTCGCAGCAGACTGTATTCGTCACTGTAAGGAAACCGTAGACAAGTACGGTTTCTGTGATGAGGGTGTCGCAACTGCTAAGGATGACCTTCCTCGCAATATGACGTCTCTGTTGAACAGTTGCTCGGACGTCATTGATGCCTTGCAACACACACGAGGTAGGTTGTTGGCTGGAGAAATGACGGTGACTTGTGCGAACGAAGTTGTCATGGGAAGTGCAGAAGGTGAAAGGACGAAGGCAGATGAAGAAATCGACACAACAATGCAAACCTCCAGAAGAATTGGGACCACTGTCGGGGACTGCGCGCTTGCGCCGCATGCCCTGCTGGCGTGCACCGATGTTGCCGCACTGAATTGTCACCACGTTCGTCACAACTTCCCATGTGTCATCGCTAGCAAAGCACCTTGTGCTGATGCAGAATCTGTTGCGCTGCCTATGACGACGGACACATTTCAAAAGTTCGTTGCAAAAGCGAATTCGCGACAAATGGCGAGGCTGGTTGCGGACTGTTTGTTGCATCTCATATCGAACATCAAAGAGATAATTGTACAGGTTGTAACGAACGCAGGCTAGCATGGAGGGAATAACGAATGTCAACATTGCAGGAAAGGACTTCGCATCAACGACCGCTTAAAAACTCTTTACACAAGATGTCAAATCGTGGCTGCGCGGGTGGTCAGTGAGTGGTTCGGCTCAAGTCCGCAGACGTCGAGTGTGTCGGGAAAGCGAGACGGCGAAACTACTCCCCGCAGACTAAAATACAAGTGAAAATTAATAAAGGCCCCGACCATGCAGCCAGGGCGACTAGAAAGGGGGGCTTGGCCTGTTGTAGCAGGTTGCGGTGGCCAACCGTGGCCTGGGTTTCCCCTACGGTGGACAGCGGGTTTTATGAGCTGACTAGAGTGGGCCCTATAGTCTACTTAGGGCAAACTAGCTCCCAATAAAACTGAACTAGGAGCTAGCCTAGTAGGTACAGGCACCGATTGATATGTGAGGGATCCTGGGATCGAGTCTGACCTGCCTCCGAGCTAGCTCCTTTTGCTAGCTGTCGGGGGCGGGGCCTGCCTTTTCCGTCCGGTTTCGGTCGGCCGGGACTTGAACCCGCTGTCGGATCAAATACCCTTACAAGGGTATTTGGCCATGTTTTTACATTCGACACGCCGACCGCACCAACCGTCGTAACGGAGTTGGTATGAACTTAGAAGTGTACGCGTTTCCACGCGACACTTTGATAACGATTTCCTCGGTCGTTGAAGCCGGGGGCGAATCGGTGAGAAAATTTCAAAAAGTATACGCGCGCATTATTATGACGCGCACTGTGATGATTAGGATCAGTAGTAATACCCCTCGACAGAAGAAGTCGAGGGGTCAGTTGGGGTAATGTTGTGTCAGGTAAATCTGCGACACGCACTGAGACTTGGTCTGGTACCTGTCTGTCTACCGGTACCAGATGTTTAAAATTTTCAACTTTCATTATTTCCCTTCTCGATCTCCGAGTCAGGTACTCGGCACATCAACCTCTACTTGGTGTGGTATCGACTTACCTACCACTAAGTGTTTCCCGCCGTGACCCTCAAATGTCGCGGCTATAGCTAGGTACCAGCCTACCCGCCACTTGAGTGTTTTCCCCGCCGCGACCCTCGATGTCACGGCAACAGGTAAGTACCAGCCTTTGAGCCTTCGGATCAACCAAGAGCCCTTGTGGGCTGAGCACACACTCAAGCCGGCAAGCACTCAGATAGGCACGCAGACCGGCAAACCTGCACATACACAGATTAGAATTGGGCTCGGGCCACTAGGCGGGCCGAGCCCGAGTCCTCTACGTATACCGGGGCTACTCTTGTCTTACTCAGAACAGGAGCTAGCCCGGTAGGTTTCAGGATGGAATGACAAGTACTAGACTCGAGGATCGACTCCACCTGCCTGTGGGTTAGCTCCTTTTTTTGACAAGGAGCCCCGTACCATTTCGCCACTGTTTCCGGCAGGCGAGGCTTGAACCCACGACCTCACTATTACGGTTAGTTGTAGTTGCCTCGTTGAAACGGGGCTTGACACTTGGCAAGTTACGACAGTTAGTAGTTAGATTCTGTTCTTTATTTTATTTTCATTAGTATAGTTAGATTCTTCTTCTATTTAAGTTTATTATTATTATTATTGTTCTGATTGTTGTTTTCCAATCTCGTACTTCACAAGGTTCGTCTGCATCAAGGGATCTGCCGCAGAACCGAGGGAAGGTTCATTCCCCTCGGGGTTGGTGATACAGGGCCGGGCTTGGCCGCCCGATACTGGCTCGCACCCTCGAGAAGGGTGAATCGCGAGAGAGGGAGTTCGCGATCGCGTGAGGGTGGAGATGTCCGCGCGGTAGGAGGAAGAGAGCGGGCGCGATGGAAATAGTTGCGCGGGGAGCAGCAGAGGTGGCGCGTGGAAAGGAAGAAGATAGTCGCGCGGAGACGGATGAAACGCGTCGGGAAGATGGTAGGAGAAGTAGAGGAAAGGTAGAAGGGGAAGAAGAAGAAGGAGAAGGAGAAGAAGAAGGAGAAGAAGGAGAAGAAGAAGAAGAAGAAGTAGGAGGGAAGGAGGAGGAGACAACGAACGAGAAGGAGAAGGAAATGGCAGGAGACAAGGATGAGCGTGGGGAGGAAGAAAAAGCAACCGCGCAAACGCAGCGCGGCTCGGGAGAGAATGCGCGCGGACAGAAGAGCACGCAGGGCGGAAATGGAACGCGCGAGAAAGAAGATCGTTGCGCAGCAGGAGATGGCCGCACAGTGCAAGCAGGATGGCGCGCGGGGAGCATCGAAGAGATTGTGCAGAGGAAGCAGTGAAGTGGCGGAGAGCGAGAGGAGGAGTGCTAGAAAGGAGGAGAAGAAGCGCGAAGGAGAAAAAGAAGAAGAAGAAGAAAAAGAAGGAGAAGAAGAAGAAGAAGAAGGAAGAGGAAGAGGAAAGAAGTAGGAGAAGGAGAGAGGGGGAGGGGAGCAGATACTTACCTGACACGCGAAAAGACGACGACGAAGACCCCGACGAGATCAACGTCGACGATGGCGGCGATGATGTCGACGACGACGACTGATGACGACGACGCCCACGACTGATGACGACGACGACAATGGCGGAGCGGGAGAATAAGAGAGGTAAGTCCGCGATCACACGGTTTACCTCGTGGTACTTCCATCAATAAAATATATATATATATATATATATATTCTATTTGACGATATATATATATATATATATATATATATATATATCGCAGCCCCTCGTTTGTTGTCCTCTTCTCCCTCTCTGCCTACGGTTTACCGGGCAGTTCTATTTGACGATATATATATATATATATATATATATATAGATAAATAAATAAATAAAATGAATCTACCATTATAATATGGAAAGATTCATTACTGCATCTGTGTGTGTGTGTGTATGTGTGTGAGAGAGAGAGAGACTATAAGTCTCCACCCCACGGCTCGCCGCGCGCTGCTTAGATCGATAGAATGAGCAAATCAAAAAGTGACAGCGCATATTTCCACGTTTCACCGAAAGATTCATTCCGTTTTTGCTCATCCTATCGATGGTGTGTGTGTGTGTGTGTGTGT